ACATTCTACCATAGTTATTGGAGATTTTCTCCTAAAATCAACTAAAGAGTCAGTGAGTCTTTTTCAAAAGGAAAACTGAAATGGTAACATTAAAACACACACACACACACATACACACACACAAATCTTGGGAATCTTATACTCCTATAAATAAGAGCTCTGATCATGCTTCTTTTCAGAATATCTCTGTTGCTGAAATTCAGTAAAAACTTACTTCCTTTTGTTTCCTGTCCCTATATCTTCTGAATATAGATTTGACTTTTTAAAGACATGGCTTGCATCTGAAAGGAATGTGGAATTTTATTTAAAGTGGCTAATAACGATTTCGTATTTATGGTTTTGAGAATGTAAAGGAAGTTGGCAGCTTTCAACATGAAGCCATGCACTCAAGCCTCAAGGTTTATGCATTTATTAAAGGCTCTTGTCTAGAGAGCTCAAACTAAAATACTAATGTGCTGTATGTTTCTTTGACTATCCGTTGCTATTATTCTACATCTTTGCCCACTGTACAGTGTATGAATTAGGAATTGATTATCGTGGCTGCATAAAAACTGATTGATTTACACTATAATATCCCTCTGAAAGGAAAAATATCCCTCTGAAGATTTAGGATTTGTTCCTCTGATTTACTTCAAAAATGAATCATTAAAACTGATTCAACCATGTGTTCATTTTCTAAATGATATATCATCAATACTTTTTTTAAAATCATGATAATTTCAAATAGATCAAAAGCCAATATATCGATATAAATTTAAGGATGACTTCTTTTGAATCAATCAGGGAGTTGAAGAAAGAGGCCAGTTGGGATAATTCACAGACATTCTCTAGACCCATGATAAAATAGAAAGATACATCAATAGAAAACTCTGAAGAGATAATAAAATAATGTCGATGTGGGTCGCCCTTCATCTTTTCAGTGTCTAGATTCTGGAATGTCCCGGATTCATTCTTCACATCTCCTGACTTATCTGCCCATAATTAGGCCCAAAGTAATTATATCCAGTTTCTATTTTAAAGCCAACTATACATTGACACCTCATCAATTACCATCTGCTGTCCCTATCTCTTTTTTGAATTCCACATTGATATAAGTATCTGCTAGACTTCTCCATTTAAAAGTCTAGCAGCTATCTCTTATCACAAATCCAAATCCCATTTTCTTTCTCAAAATCTGTTCCTCACATGGTTTTCCCTTTCTCTCTAAAAAAGCACCTCCTCTTGCTAAGGCAAGGGCTATGGTTTATGTTTTAGTAAGGAATACCCAGAGGATTTTCCTACAAAATATACCAGCTTGGTCCTGTGAGTGAGCAAGCGGTTCATTTCAAAGTGCCATAACCTCTTATTTGCATTACGGTAAGACAAAATCACTAGCTTCCTGTTTTACTCTTGTCCCTTAGTTATGTCCCTTAGATCTCCCTAGCCTGACAGCAGTCAGGAAAATGTTTTGAAATCTACAAATGTCTATTTTATAGCTCAGAAATCTCAATGGACTTAATTAAAAATCCAGAGGCATGACAAGACTTCACTGAGGTCAGCAGACTCCACCTCCTATTGCTTCTATCACGGCACCCGCCTGCCCTCCTCCAGCCCCTTTCATGTGCCTTCAGATTCCAACATGCTACTTCTACTGTGATCTCTCTGTTCCCCATGTTGGTTTTGTTTATAAGGTTCTTTCCCCAGGAGTTACTCTTCCTTTTCTTAAATTCGTAGATAAACTACAACCTCAAGAGCAAATCCTTCCTTTAAAATCTTATATGAAATATTACCTTTCTACTCTGTTTACTCCATCTTTACATCATTATCTGAAATACGCTGTCTATTTCTATGTGTGTTTATTGTCAGCGCTCCCATCTAGTACTTAATGGTATTAAGTAATAGATACATGCCATGATGCTATTATCCAAATCCAAAGAATATAAAATATCAAGGGTGAACACAGAGGTGGATTGTGGACTTTGGGTGATTAGGATTTGTTAGTGCAGTTCATGCTGTAGATAACATAGCACTCTTGATGATGAGAGTGTTGACATTGAGTGAGGTCGATAATGGTTGAGACTATGCATGTGTTTGCCAGGGTAGATGGGAAATCTCTGTACCTTTCAACTTTGATGTAAGTGTCAATGACTGAGGCCTTTGTTAGAAGATCAACTAGGAAACCATTTTGTAAAGAAATGCAGATTCTGGCCCTGCCTGGTGGCGCAATGGATTAGGATGCAGCACTGCAAGCAAGCCTTTGCCACTTCATTGCAAGTTCGATCCCAACCCCAGAGGTGACCCACATGGTGCAGCAGACCTGAGCTGCCCGCTGCTCCCCTCAGCAGTGTACTTTGTCTAATCTGTCTGCTCTGCTCCCCATTCTGTCTCTGGTGAATCTTCTCACCTATCCTACACCTCTGGCCTCTGTATGCATAAGTAAATAAATCTTAAAAAAAAAAAGAAATGCAGATTCTCCCACCTTCTCATTTGCATTACTATATCCATTTGCTAATATATTTAATAATCCAGCTAACTCAAAACAGTTTTATCTCAAAGCAAACTTACCTTTCCTCCACAAACCAGCTCTGTTTCTGGTATTTCTCTCATTTCTAGAATGGATGGAGACCATGATTTGTTCCTTTCTCACAGGTTCCAGATGGATGTGGTCTTTTCTCCATCCTTGACGACCGCTGTCTAGACCAGGCCTTTCAGTTCATTTGTTCCTTCTTTCCCTCTCTTGTTCCATCAGTCCTTTTAGTCATCCATTATGGAAAGTCCACACAACCACAATCTTCTACACCATTTAGATTTCTCAGGGACTTAACACTCCACATCTATCTCATTGGATGCCTGAAATTCAGCTCCAATCATATTTTTCTCTTGAAACCCCAAACTTTGAGTTACTCTTTATTGCCTTCTAATGAAAATCTACACTTTTGCTTTGGGTTTAGGGTCCTTTGGAATAGAAAACCAATTTTTCTTTAAAGCCCTACTCAGCATTATCTAATACATTTTACAAATTATATCCCTGCAAATTTGCCATATTCCCCTCTCTGTGCTCCTGTGTGTGTTGTTGAGTTAAATTTGGTGGTGTCCTTACTGAAACACACACATGTACACACAATTCCTCTCTTGAAACCTTGTCCAGTCATTTAAATAGTTCCATTTTTTTTTTCATGAAACTTTCCCTCATAAATTCATTACAAAATGTTCTCTTGCTTCTTTGAAATCAAGTAACAGTGTGGTTTTAATATCCCCACATGACTTTAAACTTACAGTGAGAAAACCCAGACTCACACACATTCTCAGTCAGTTAATAATTGTGTGATCAAGGACCATTCGTTCATCTCTGGAGGCCTCGATTTGCATATCTGTGAAATGTAAAGATGGTAAAGATTAATAAAACACAGCAAAGGCAAAGTTTCCAGTTGTGAAATCGACATTTGTCAAAGATTTTCTGGATGAATCATTGTTAACACATAAAATGAAATACTTCTGTATAG